AATAGAAATGCTGCTAACATCCAGCAGCCAATAGAAATGCTGCTAACATCCAGCAGACCCAATAGAAATGCTGCTAACATCCAGCAGACCCAATAGAAATGCTGCTAACATCCAGCAGACCCAATAGAAATGCTGCTAACATCCAGCAGCCAATAGAAATGCTGCTAACATCCAGCAGACCCAATAGAAATGCTGCTAACATCCAGCAGACCCAATAGAAATGCTGCTAACATCCAGCAGCCAATAGAAATGCTGCTAACATCCAGCAGACCCAATAGAAATGCTGCTAACATCCAGCAGACCCAATAGAAATGCTGCTAACATCCAGCAGCCAATAGAAATGCTGCTAACATCCAGCAGACCCAATAGAAATGCTGCTAACATCCAGCAGACCCAATAGGTCTGGTGATGTCATCAGTACGCTTCTGTTCCAATTGACCCATATTTATGCTGCGTGCTCCCGTTCTCCCCAAGCCCACACTTTCTTTTGTTCTTGGCAAGAACATAGTTGACGAGTCCAAACTCACTTTCTTGTGAACCAAGAAACGTCCTATGTGATCTGGAAAACGCAATCAGAAAGATTGCAATTCATAAAACTCACATCTGAAAAAAAGAGAACTAAAAAAAAAAAAATAATAAAAATATATATAAACTGAATCTGAAATATAGAAATAAATGAAAAATATATTGAAATATGTTTAATCAAATTCCTGAGAATACAGCAAAGTCAGTCTCATCCTTTTTCAGGATAAAGTTTCATTTCTGGATTGGAATATTATCAAATTTCCATTAACAAAACATATTCCATTTGTAAGGGAAGATATCATCAGATATCATCAGATATTGTTTGTCTTATTTCAGCGTTTCATTTGTCAGTAAGATGAATGTGAAGCTGTTGTAGATTTATTGAACTTTTAATCTCTGTTAGACGAAGAGAGCATTAAAGTGGAAAGATTTTGTTTTTAAAAACATTTGGACAGTTAAAAATGTATGTAATTCGATGACAATAACATTTAAATAAAGATTGAATTTAAATTAAATGTTTTACAGATTTTCATTTATAAAAAGGTTAAAAAAAATCAGGACAGTGGAAACGGAAAATCAACAATTGCTGCCATCATGCACATGATTTCTTGGCTAAAGGTAAAAAAACAAAAGCTGCTGGATTCTGGTTACTTTTTATTCTTCCTTGAGATTTAAACTTAAGCATTGCCCGTATGTAGAAATCCTTTATGAAGTGCGTTATCAATCACGCATCTATGAAGGAGAGGCAGCACATCCTTCCTTAACCGCTGTGTGGCCTGTGGCAGCGCCGTCCTGTCGTGGGGGCTGTAAATCTCTCGTTACCCGGCAGCAACAGGAAGCAATTCAGGAAGAACTGGTAGCTAACAGCACGCTGTGCAAAGAGGACGTGAGCCGGCTGCTGCTTCCCTGCTTTATTTACTTAATTACTTACCGCCTCACAAAACAGAGACGCAAAAAAAAAAAGGATGTTTGACTGGAAAATATCAAAGACTAAATAGTGAAAATTAGAGGAGTGACAGAAGAAACTGGTTCCTACCATTTGTCTGGATGAGATCAATTTCTTTGCTGAGGCAGTCAATGTCAATCTGCAGAGTCCTATTTTTGCATCGCAGATTCTTCATTTCATCAATCTGAAGGAAGAACAGAAGAGAAGACTTGTCATTTTCTTCCTTATTTAGAAAACCTGAGGATGCTGGTTTGAAATCCGGACACAATCCTCTTACAGAAGGAATCTGGGAGGCTGAGTTGGACCTCTCCAGCCTTCTCCTGGTCAGGTCATTCTCCATTTCATTGACTTCCTCTTTTAGCTTCTCCAGCTTCTTCTTCTTCATTTCCAACTCATGCCAAAGTCTCTCCATTCGAGCCTTCTGGTGAACCAACAACGCTGAAGGCAGAGAGAAAGAGAAACTCATTATTAGGAGGAGGTTTGGCTCAACATTCAGACAGACATTAGAATGTCACCAATGGAAGCTGAAACACGTTAGGCCACCTTTGTGTAGAGGAAGAAGTGACATTGTTCCAGGAAGTAGCCTGTCTCTAACCTCCACCACCACAGTCAAGCTGACTTGTAATGTTTGGTGTAAAAACCACATGATGCCAGCATCTATTCTTTTTTTTCTCTCTGTATCTGTTCATATGCTCCATCACTGCCCTGCAGAGATCACTGAGGATGGGTCGAGGCTTTAGGAACCATGCTAACAGGGATCCTCCTACAGGACCCAGTAATGCACTAAACATATAGAAATCCCAACAGAGTCAGATGTTCCTGTTCAAAGAAAGTTATATATACGTGAAATGTTGGTCTCTAATAATGTTTACTTGGTCCTTTTCAGTCTAAAACAAAATGTTTGAGCCAGGCATGATTAGCAGATGCATCGTTGTACCTGCTGGCAGCCCCTATAGATCTGTGCTCTGCAGAGGCTTTAAAAAGTCACACTGTCCTCTGATGGCTACAAATGTTTCATTTCTCTTGGTGTTCAGCATTTCTCCTGCTTCCTCACACTAGATTTTAGATTTTTTTTCATTTCTTTTGGTACTCTGCTGGGGAAGTTACATCCTGGCTTACTCATTGTGACCATGTGCAATATCATACCTCTGGTCTTGTGGTATTGCAAAGTAAACTAGGAAAACTCCCCCATTCCAGAGCCTTACTTCCACCAACATCTAATATAAAAAAACAGCATGAGGCAGGAAACATCCAGAGGTGGTTGGTCAGATAAGGCAAATAAATAGAGCCACTTTCATATATATATATATATATATATATATATATATATATATATATATATATATATATATATATATATATATATATATATATATATCAGGGCTTGATGTTAACCATCCCCCGCATTTGCCCGCCAGGCAAGTGCAATGATCGCAAAAAAATTTATTTATCACTCAAAATTACTTTAAAATCATGACATTCGATAAAAATGACCCAGAAGCATTGCCGGCGCCCTTTTTGTTGTTTTGTTCACAATCCGCGTGATTTTCCTCCAGATGGCGTGATTTTTGTCCGGGAACAACAACAAGGCAAAAAAATGTATGTACAGTAACACACCCACCACCTATTTTACCCTCCACCCAGATAACTGTAGATTAAAAATTATCAGTCAGGTATTAGGAAAATTGGCATAATTGTATGCCATGCACACAATGTAAATATGGCTATCATATGACAGTCTTCTGTTCAGTGATGCAGGTCATACATTAAAAAAATGGTCATTAAATGTTTTTCTCTTAGACGTTGGAGAGGTGCATTTAAATGTTATAGAGCTAAACTTGTTAAATTGGTGACCTGTTATTATTATTGTCTTGTTGCTGCATTTATTTTGTCAGGGAAAACTAATCCTGAGTCAGTTAAAAGTCAGGGAATTCTGAAATTATGTAAGACTGTGGAAACCCTGCATAAAATAACTATGTATAATGATTCTCTAGAAAAGTCACATTATATTAATAGTATTATCTTGTATAAACATACCGTGACTCTAAAATAAAAGTTATTCATTTGTGACATTGACTTCTGTCTTTAGTTTTTAACCTGTTAGATTTTTAACATTACAATTTATATTTTTCCAAGCACACAACAGCTTAAAGCAAAGTTTAGTTTGAAAAGAATGTGCAGGAAGAATTGTAAAGCATGTTAAAGGTACACTATGCAACCGGTGTTGATTTTCCAGCGAGGCTCCCCCCAGAGGGCGAAAGTAAAAGTGCACTGTCGTAAATATGCACAGCTGTTCTCCTGGTTTCTCCGTCAAGCCAGGCGCGGTTGTTTTGAGCTTAGCAGACAGGCGAACGCAACGAATGACTTAGCATCTGACGCGCCGCAAACGCGCTGCTGCTCGAGATGGAAAAATAAAATTTTTGCTGCTCGACGCACCGCGTCAACCAATCAGAGAAGCTGATCTGGGAGCTGGCAGGGAGAGAGACACAGCGCTGATGATCAGAGCGCTATTATCACTCCTCTTAAACAGTTTATTGACGCCTAAATTAACTTAAAATGCAGAAATCTGCCGGCAGAATATGTTGGCTTTTATTATCCTGCTGCCTGCAGTTTGGATTATTTAGATAAAAAACACCTACCAGCTGCCGCGGTGAACCGCGAGGAGGCGACCCGGCCAGAGGCTGCTGATGAAGGGATTCCTTCTGTCGGCGCACCGCTGGTATGTGGGGGTCTGAGCGGCTCCGACAGAAAAAATATTGTAAGGGAGGATGATAATCTGAATGAACTGACTGCACTGATTACGTTTTCAGGTGTATTTTCTCACTTAAAAACATATTAAAACTACTTTATTCCCACTGATCACAGCAAATATAGCTGCAAGGCAGAGAAAGGATAGTGAAGCTCCGCCCAACGCGCGTCAGAGCCACTTTTGCACCGCTCAGCCAGAGCAGCAAAGCTGCTTCAGCCGCGCGTCAGAACAAGCTGGTACAAGCAGCAAAAATGAAGCAGCAGACACGATTTTGCTGCGTCCGGTGTGAAAGCAGCACTGCACAAAGATCGCCACTGTCTTCTTCTTCTTCTTCTTGTTTTACTGGCGACTTGCAACCAAATGGAGCAATATCGCCACCTACTTGATCTTATTTATGTTTCCTTAAATCCTTAGGTTTAGTCCAGTTTGTTGAAGATAAGATGACATGATTTTAAGTACTGTCTTTCTGGATTTATTGATCGCCACTGTGCTAGCAACGAATATGCTTTTAACTGGGGGGTGTAGCAGTTCTCGCCGTAAAGCAAGACTGACTCTCACGAGACTTCTGAGCCTGTGGGTGCGGGTCGGTGCTCCTGCAATTGCAAGTGCGGTATTTCCCCCACAGACCACCAGGGCGGCCGAGAATACCTTTGTTCAACCTGAAATGACTCATTTAATCATCCAAAACATTATGGAACACATTAATTTACTGAAAAATGTTGCATAGTGTGCCTTTAACACGGTAATGTAGGCTTGAGTTCATTATCTGACGCATGCATATACACACCAGGAACCTGTAAACTTAAAAAATACTGAATTACAAAAAAACATTAAAAAAACAAACATGTTTTATTGATATAGAAATTAATATTAGAAACTATATTTATCAAACATTATACTGGGCAAGTAAAAATTGTTTCTGGGCAAATGAAATGTGGCAAAACTGAACTTTAAGTCTAATGTCAAATGGACCCAAAAAAGAGGCATAAAACACAGAAATGATATACAACAAGCAAAAGGGCTCTTCAATTTAATCTGAAAGCCTCTGTATGGAACTAAAGCAAACTACAAATGTGGGGGGGGGGGAGTGACTGGGCCCCTTTAACGGTTGGAGGTGGGTTTACATGGAGCAGATAAGAGCCAGCTAACGTCGTTACGCTCCAGAAAGCCTCTAGTTTAGGACAAGTTTCTAAAGCGTCAAAGTGGAGATATTTGATCTGATGCTGTCGGTGTTTTATGTCAGGAGCTAAGCTAGCATCTGAAGGGGTAGGGGCCAACGGGTGGAGCTCCAGCCTGCAGGGACGACAGCTCTTTGCTGGTGCAGCGGCGCCAGTTTACTCAACAACAGCTAAATCAGAACGCAACATTTCAGGGAGGATCTTTTGATTTACTCTTCCTGGCAGGGAGAGAAGAAGCACAAAGATAAGCTCTATGAGTATTTATAGGCCAATCAAGGTTTAGATTTGACCTGTTGCCATGGTGATTTAGGATTTGAAGATTGGGGTGTTACCAAAATACTACCTTAAGGCTCTTTTTCTTGTTCTACCAAATATACCTTTAACGTTAATGATTATCCAAAAACACAAAGAAATCTGTTCAAAGTAAAAAAGACCATCAGAACTTTCGAGGTTTTCTTTTTCTTTTTTTCAAGCTGAACCGGCCTAACAGCGCAGCTACATTTCTAACAGGTCTTTACACGCGCAACAGGAGGAGAAACGTTGCGCAACACAAAAAAAATGATATTCTGCTGTCAAACAAAGAGCGATACGATCTTTGGCGACTGGAGGTAAAAACTGAGTTAAATTAACCGTTATGTGGTGACAGGTGTGTCTGAATCAGGTGGCTCTAAAACACACCTCAGCCTGCCGTAAGGCGGCCGATCAATAGCAGGGTTAAAAAAAAAAAAAAAAAGTAAAACTAATGCACATCAAGTGTTCAGTGGAGCAGTCGCCACAGAGCCAAAGCCAGTGACTCACACATGATACAGTTGAAAGTCCAAAAAAGGAAAGAGCAGTGCTCTGCATGCACATGTTTGACTCACTACAGGATCTGTAGTCAGGGGCTGATGGGGGCAAACAGAGCCTTTACTGTGGAGGACTCACGCTGTAGTCATCACACCGGTCCCTACTCTGCAGCTCAGCTCTGCTTTTATCCTCCGTGTGGAAAAGTCTCCGCCACGGCGCTGACAGCAAGTATACACAGCCCCACTCAACAAATACTTTTAAAGTCCATGTTTTTGTAAGAAACTTTTCAAATTATACAGTATATACTTTATTGGTTACTAAAGCCTCTATGGGATAATAAAACGAGTAAGAATAAAAATAGGAAAACCTTTTCTGCCTAAAAACCAGAGAAAGATCAAAGTTTAAACCGCTTTAATGAGTTTTACGGTAGTTTCCAATCCAACATGGCTGTTAGACTCCATAGGAAGTGATCTTCTAAGCTGTACATATGGAAATGTTTTATATAGGCTCAAGACATGCAAGGCAAATTATGATCAGGAGGAGCCTGCTGCTGAGCTGTATTGTCTGACATCTATGTGCTATGGAGCGTGAAGGATGGATCATCTGGCAGCGTTGTAGCTGACCAATCAACAGTATGAATACTTACTGAACAGAAACTCCAGAGAGAGGAGGAGCTTATATTTATTCACTGAGCTAATCGCTAATAAAACCAGTTTAAAGCAGCTGAGAAACAATGTCCCTTGTTCCTGGTGTCGTTTGGGAAGTTCTCTTCATCTGTCATGAACAAAGACGTGGAATAAATAAAGAGCCTATATCAGGGGTAAGCAATTAAAAATCACTGGGGTCCGAATAAAGAAAATCATCAAACAGTGAAGGTCCGGAGAATAAAATTCTAATCTTTCAAAATCTTTAAAATCTAGAGTGTGTTTTGAAGTAGAGAACAACAATAATTTAGTTTGGTATATAGACAATTTCCTGATTCACATATTTAATAAAACACCTGAACTGACCGTTTTCTGTCTTAATGTTCACAGTGGGCTTTATGCTGCCCTGCAAGGCTTTAAACCTGGGTTTGAATGGAGACTAAGCCATTCTAAAGCACATATCAAGGTGCTCATTTTGAGCCTGGATCCATATTTATTTTTGATTCTGTTCATGGTGGAGAATCCTGCTTCACAGCAGCAGGTTGAGCCAAACATCCTCTAAATCAGGCATCCCCAAACTCGGTCCTCAAGGGCCGCTGTCCTGCAGGTTTTAGAGGTTTCCATGCTTAAGCACAACTGATTATAATGATTGCAGTAGAGCAAAAGCCTGTTAATCAGCTTTCAATTAAAAGCAGCTGTTCTTGAGCAAGGAAACCTCTAAAACCTGCAGGACAGCAGCTCCCGAGGACCAAGTTTGGGGATGCCTGCTCTAAATGCTCAGGGTCATCTTTGAGCACCATTTCACTTTTCTTTCACCAGTTCACCACAGTTCTTCCAGCAGTCCACACTTTCTCTGCTCTCTTTTTCTCATCGTCTTCTCCTTCTTTCCCATCGCCCGGCTGTTTTAGACACAGCAGGCAAACCTGTGGCAAGCGCAGCAGCAGCAGCAGCCCAGACTGACAGCAGCTCATTGGCTAATTGGCACCACGTGCAGCCTGGTACCCGACGCTATTGAGGGCTTTACCGTATTAACAGAAAAAGCAGTGCAAGTGAAATTAGACACTCAAATATGCGGTAATTTATAAATGTTTGAAATCAGGTTGGGTCCGGTTTAGCGAGCAGGTGGGTCCGGATCCGGACCCCGGTCCGCTAATAAGTGACCTCTGGCCTATAGCATTCAATGTTTTATTTTAGCTTTCAACTGTTAAGATGCTTTTTAATCAACAAAATCATTACGACAGTGATAATTTTGCTTGATTTATATATTTCTGATTAATCCTCATGCATTCTTTCAGTGTAAATGAGCTGCCATCCATATATCCCAGGTAGAGCATCCCCTTCCAGGAAGCACCTTTTTTACTCCCGCTGCGTCTGTCCAGTAAACACCATGCCCACTTTGTCCAGTCAGAAAGAAATCATGTAGAAATTAATCTAAGATAATTTAGTTTCTTAAAATCAGTGCATTTGAAAGTAAATCTGAGCTGACCTGCCAGTGGAATGATGATTTTTGCCACTAAAATAAAATAATCAGATATTATGCACAGCAAATACAATAGCAGGTCTTTATTTTACTAATTTTAAATGTAAACCATTTTAATTGCTTGTTAAGCTGTCTAACCTACATTAAAATTTTTACAGTGCATGTCTGCTCAATGTCGACGTCGTGAAAAGAGCGGCACCTTCAGGGGGAGAAGAGGTGCAGCAGCAGAGTAAAAAGTATTACCTCTGGTTTAAAAAAAAAAGGGAATTTAAAAGAATATCCAAATGAATATTCTAGGATACTGTAGGAAAGATGTAGAACCATAAATTGCCTTTTATCGCTGAATAAAACCTTTTGAACAAGGATTTATCTCCAATAACAGTGAGCAGCTCAACTACAGTGAAATGGTGGAACTCCTCTAGATTTTAAAGCGACAATAATAATAAAAATACTTATTGTTTGGTTAAAAGAACTAGAGATATATTTTATATATATTTTATAATATTTTAACAGATATCAGTGCTTTTTTCCCTTGAATCGGCCGCTGTAGGTAGCAGATCTGCTCAGGGCCCCGCCCCTTCTTATGACATCGACATATGGCAACTCCACTCGGACAAACTGTATTGCACTCATATTTTAAGGATCAAATCTCATTTGGAGTTTCAACATATTATTACCTATATTTGCTATTATTTACATTTCATTGGCGATCTAAAGTAGCCGAAAGTAAAAAAACAAAACAATCATTGTCAGTCTTAAAAGAAAAGTATTGCGTTCTAAGAAGGAGCTCTGCCATTTAACAAGGTGACTAAACAAGTCTCGGCTTATTTTTATTCGACAAATGGGACATCACTTCCTGTAGAGAAGAGAAAATAGAAAGCGCTGCTCACCCTGTGTGTACGCCGCGTCGTCAGAACCCATACTGAGCCTGCGAGGCTCGCTGGGCCGCTCTCTGTGCGGCGACAGCGGGTCGGAATCGGACAGATGCAGCGGCTCCGGCTCGGGGAAGTGGTGGTCCGACGGCAGGCTGAGGAGGTTGTTGGGCTCAAAGGTCGGGGACACGACTCCAGGGGACACAGCCGGGGGTTTGTTGGGAGACACAGTGATTTTAAAGGTATATTTGGTGTTGGGTTGAGTCACTACAACACGAGGCGAAGAGGCGGGGCCTCCGCCTCCCACAGAGGGGCGACTCTTAGGCGGGTGGTGGTGAATGTAGGCGGGGCCCATGCTCACTTGCCCCCCGATGTTCCTGGCGCCAGAGGGCCCCTGTATCTGAGGGTTAGCTGAGATGTAGACTGTAGGAGGGTTTCTGGCTCCGCCCTCGTCGCTGGCAGAAATGTAAAACTTGGGCTGGGAGCGGGAGCCCGGCGGCGGCATCATGACCTCCTCAGAGGGGGCGGTAGCAGCAGTGGGGGGGCTGGCAGAGATGTAAACAGTTGGCTGGTTGCGGCAGGAGCCCGGCCCTCCGATGGACAGAGGGGTGCTGGTGACAGTAGCCGCTCCAGTTGAAGAGGAAGATGAAGGAGGACAGGAGGAGGAGGAGGAGGAAGATGACCAGTGCCCGCTGCTCGGCCGCCTCACAGCGGTGCTGGAATTGCTCCTTTGAGGAGATTCAAGTTTGATCTCGATCTGATTCTTCCGAGGGGCGGTGGAGAAGTTCTGGATGTTGTACTGGCTGACGGTCGACTGGGAGGAGGGCATGACTGAGGAAGAGGAGGAGGACGAAGAGGGACAGGAGGGGATGCTAGACGACGACGCCATGCTTCCACTGGAGGGGATGGCAGGCGCCTGGGGGTTAGTGGGGGAGCTGATGGGCATGTAGACGTGAGAGGTCCTTGAGGTATGTGAGGAGGAGTGCTGGGGGACAGGGCGCGAGCTGGGGAGGGGGGAGGAATGGGAGAACTGGTAGATCTGCTGCTGGGGCTGAGAGGTGGGGCTGTACTGGGCCCTCCCCCCCGCCTGCTGGCTCTGCCGCCCCGAGCTGGACTGGCTTACATACGGCCGGATGAAGATGGAGTTGCCCTGCGGGCTCCCCAGGCCCGACTGGGGCCCGCTGTGTATGTGCAAAGAAGTTGGGGTGTTGCGGCCGGTCTGGGGATTCGGGGCCAGCGTCACTGTGATGGGGTTGAAGCGCGGGGTCTGCTGCGGACCCCCGCCATGACCCTTGGGTCCTAGAGTGTAGAGCGCTAGGTTCTGCGGAGGCTGCGGCTTACGGCTGGGCTCCATCACGTTGAAAACATTGAGAGTGGGGGGTACCTGCACCGGGGCTGACTTGGACTCGTGCTGAAAAAAGTCACTGCTGGGGGCCTGTCCTGTCTGGAGGGGCCCGTCACTCATGCTGTGGGACAGAGTCCTGCTGCCGTTCATTCTCAGGCCGTCCTGAACCGGGGCCGCATGCACATTCTGAGACTGCAGGCCCAGGTTCAGCTGGGTCATGTGCTTCCGGAGCTGAGCCAAGCTGGGGTCGTCGGAAAAGCTCAGATTGCCTCCGTCGCTGTAAAGGTAGCCTGGACTGACCTGGGACAAGTACTTACAACAAGCGTCTAGGTTGTTGTTGCACTGCAAGGAGAAGGAAAAGAAAGGATTCATTAGATGGCAATGAATGGGTTACAGTTTGATGCTTTAGAGAGACGCCTGTCCAAACTCACACTCTGGCTGTGCAGGTTCACTGATCTCTGAGTAAACATGAATATCAGCAGCTCTTTGCTAACAACTACATGCAGATCAATGCTGATAGGAAACATAAAACACATTAAAACAACTTCATTATGGTCTATCCATATCTCCCCCTCTAAAAGTACATTTATCCTGCCCATCCTCCACTAGGCTGCATTACTTATAGCTATTCAACAAACCACAGGCTGGTAGAACAAAAACAAAGGTCAGTGGTGAGGAGAGAGGAAACCAATAATTGAACTTGATCTCACATTGAAGAAATGTACCTCTGCATTTAACCCATCCCCTTGCGGAGCAGTGGGCTGCCATCGTGTGGCCTGGGGAGCAATCAGGGGTTTAGAGTCTCGCTCAGAGACCCATAGTGGCAGTCTGTGGGTTTGGGTTTCGAACTCAGAACCTCAGCTCAAGCTCTATGCCCTAACCACTAGGCCTCCACTCCCCTATACCCCATACCCACTAAAATAATGTCTCTAAACATATGGTACACTGCTGCATGGTAGGTAGTTACCATAGTAACCCAGAGGCATCAGGATGTGTGAAATATTAAAGTGAAGATGATGGTGTGTAAGAAAACATTTTTTTTTAAACTGTCATTTTACTGTTAGGATTAAAGTTTTTTATGTCCAATTTATTGATATCATCCGCTTAGAGGGAATTTTTTTCAGTGTAGTAATGTTAGTTTGTCCACTAGAGGCGCTGTTGTCCATTCTTAACCTTAGCCTCACTGGTTTGGAAAGAGTGATAATGCTAGAGAAAAGCATTGATCTCTATTTATTCACTGGATTGCAGATTGCCCGAAAAAGTGAAGCCATCATCTACCATGTTGGTGCTCCCCATTCCTACGGAGACACGCAGTAAAAATGCACTTTCAGCACATCTGTATTATTCTGCTCCATTAACACATTAATTCTATAGTAATTCAATTCAATTCAGTTTATTTATATAGCGCCAAATTCACAACACATGTCATCTCAAGGCACTTTACAGTTCAACCAGATCATACAGTCAAATTGATACAAAGTTTTCTATCTAAGGAAAACCAGTTAATTGCATTGACTCATTGACTCAAATACAATCCCTCACACTAAGCATGCTTGTAGCGACAGTGGAGAGGAAAAACTCCCTTTTAACAGGAAGAAACCTCCAGCAGAACCAGGCTCAGTGTGAGCGGCCATCTGCCAAGGCCGACTGGGGTTCAAGGAGACAGAAGCAGAGATACAAGCAGCTGTAAAAGGCGGCCCCGTCCAGGAAACACACAGCCAGGCAGACGAGCTCCAAGGCAGCTCCCATGCCAGAGGATGAAGAGAGCACATCCACCCAGCCACGGCCAGAGAAACAGGACCACACCTGAAGACAGGCCGATCTCCAACATCTACAAACAAGGGTGTTGATGGAAGCAGCACAGCTGATGTTTCTCTCCTGGATGACGTCACAGCCAAACAGGAACAGACGAGGCAAAGCTACTCTGAGGAAAAGCAGAGAGAGCAGAAGGTTAGAGATTGAACAAACAGATTCTGCAGAATAGGAGAACAGAGAGAGAATGAAGCAGAATGATGAAATGGGGATCCCTATGTCCTCCAAAAGTCTAAGCCTATAGCAGCATAACTATAGAGATAGCTCAGGATAACCTGAGCCACCCTAACTATAAGCTTTATCAAAAATGAAAGTTTTAAGCCTAGCCTTAAAAGTAGACAGGGTGTCTGCCTCACGGACTAAAACTGGTAGTTGGTTCCACAGGAGAGGAGCCTGATAACTAAAAGATCTGCCTCCCATTCTACTTTTAGAAATTCTAGGAACCACTAGTAAACCTGCAGATTGAGAGCAAAGTGCTCTGTTAGGAACATAAGGAACAATCAGATCTCTGATATAAGATGGAGCTTGGCCATTTAAGGCTTTATATGTGAGAAGGAGGATTTTAAATTCTATTCTTGATTTAACAGGAAGCCAATGAAGAGAAGCCAGGATAGGAGAGATATGATCTGTATAATTTGTATTGGATTTGTATAATATGTTATATTACATGATTTAGAGACTTAACTGACCTCATAATGACTATGCAATGTGTTTAGGGGTGTAAATCACACCCATCATGGCGATTCGATTCAGTATCAATTTCGTGACCCAACGATTCGATTATTTTCGATACTCAAGAATACACCACAATACGATTAATTGGTAACTTTTCCTTTTTCTTTTTTTCCTTACAGGCTAGACAATGTTTTATATTTGAAATAAATCAATGAAAACTGTAATATCGTTATGCATTTTATTTGAGAAACAAAAAAAAAAAAAACAGAAGTAGCAAAGTTGTTCTCCACCTAGGCCTATGAAAACCTCTTCACTGAAAAATAATAATGCCCCTGCGTTAAAGATTCTGAAAGGCCTTGCATCAAAAATACTGTAGGCAGAAAGAGGGTAGTAGCTAGAGGAAGTGAGGTAGGAGGGCAAAATCGGTTTAGCTCCACCGCAGCACGGGAGTCAGAATAACGTTCAGGAGCAAATGGATAAAATAGACCGGATGAAAAAAAAAAACATGAATCGCTACTGTTGCGGACATGTCGATGCATGGGATTGTCGGCTGTTGGATTGATGCATCGATACTAAACGATTAGTATTTTCACTCCTAAATTTTAAGTCTTAAGCCCCCCTGAAAATGAGAACATCATCATTGCTCGATGCTGTAGCGCACGTATTGTTTCCATGCAACCGGTCTAACTAGGGAGTAACAATATGGCGGCCGGTGGCTTCCCTTTAACCCGATACTACCAACATGCAATCAGCAATCCAGTGAATAAGTAGAGATCAGTGGAGTAAAGTCAGGCCTGCTAGAGCAGAACCATAAATGGATCCAGATTGTTTCAACAGTTTAATGGATCCAAGGATACAGAAAGAACTTTCTGAGGTTCTGGTTGTAAATATAAACTCTGGATAAACTCCTTTAGTTCCTACCTAAATAGCTCCCATTTAGCTGTGCTTCATGGAGGAGCAGCAGAATTATCTGCTATGTTTAAAAGGTGAGGATGCGGTGACAGGAAAGTGGAGGTAATTACGCTAAAACATATGTAGCATGATGGAAAAAGACATGCTAGCAGTTAGCCAGCCTTTAGTGTGTTAATTCAATAGTGTCGCCCTGATATCACAGCGACATACCCCATCTTTTAACAATAGTATCAGTGTTTATTGGAAAAATATAACAGTTTCACATTTTGTATTTATCCTTATGTCTTCAGTAATTCAGTACATACACATTTTGTTTATTCAGTCAGTATTTAATACAGCTGGAACAAGAAATTAAAGTATAATTAACTTTAGATTAGATTTATCCCTTCATGTTATGGAAAAATGTCCTTGAAATAAAAGAAAACAATCAATTAATCATGTCCCTCAATGAGATCAATCACCTTTAGATCAATTAAATGTTTTTTTTTTTAATCTTGATTTTTGTATTTCTGATACAAAACTTTATTTTCTTATCAGTAAAAACAAGAAATCTTTCTAGACATTTATTTATTATTTAGATTTCACTTTTAAAATGCCAGATGCTCAAAAGTAGATCACATCATGTTTGTTTTTATTCATCGAGGAGGTGAATAAAATATAAACATTTTACTTTAGTGTTTGGTGAAAAGCTTGTTTTTAAAGAGTGAGGAATTTCTCTACCTCCAAAACGCACTGAGAGACGACAACTTCTGGGACTTCTGGGAACTTCTGGCGCAGCTCGTGCAAAACCTGAATGTTAATCTGCTGGCTTCCCTGGGCCATTCGTATGCTACCAGGTCAGGATCGATCGTTGAGTTCAGCAGACGGGAGCATCAGTTGTGGCACAGACCCAACTTCATTCTGAACGTCTGGACTGAAAGAGAGGGAAAAAACAAACAAATAAGTGACGAAGGGAAGGTTTTTCAAGCAGGGTTCACTAAATAATACTGAGCATGAACAAGCAGCTTTAGATTTGTTCCCTTTTAATAAAAAATAAACTGCTGTGGAAGAGGCCGCTTGGTTTATTAATCCTAAAGATTTACAAGATTTCAGACAGCCTTGATGAGAAGAGGCTGCGTTCATGTCAGAGGGGCTCCTCCCCACAAAGGAGAAGCAGAGGGAGGAAACAGACTCTGACCGACTACACAGGAAACCAGCCACTCCAACTCCTCCTAACATCATTATTCATTTATTAAAGAAACAAGGAGGTTCAACAGTAGTCTGGGATGGATGGATTTCTCTTTAGTTCAATGATTAAGCAGCTCTGCAAAACAATTATTTCAAGTAATAGGAAAAAGAAAAAAAATAATCGGAAGCAGGCCAACAGAGATGAAGGAGGAGCGAAGATAAAGAATAAGGAGATGAGCAGCTTAGGCCGTGAAAGGTGTGACATCACACTACTCAGAGCTACAGGGTCTAAACAGCAGCAGCTCTGCAGACATGAGATTCAGCACTAAATTAAAGAAAGACCACCAGATCAGCCTACCGATTTGTTCAGATAATTTAGCAGCCGTGCATGTAAATGTATCTCCTTCCTCCGTCTGCTTTCCATAGTTAATGTTGGATTTGTTAACATTTTTATTTGCTTTGTTTAAATTGAGGCTTCTGTCATTTTTATTATGGAAATATGTGCAAAGAAAGAAATGATAGCAGCTATCTGCATCGTCCTTTATGAACCTGTTTCTGTTGATCTCTACTAAAGAGGACTTAGGAAAACAGAAAGTCTGACATTCCTGCTACGTTGCCTGCCTCACCTTTGAGCTTTCATAGGGTCCCCCAAAGTACAAAAACGGCCAAAAAGTTAGTTTGATTTTGATTCAATTCTTATTATTATTCTTAAAACCAAAGGTCTAAACAATTGCCATTGTCTTACTGCACTGGCAGATTATTGCACTTACATCTATCTTCATCAGTAGAGCAAACTCGAAACAAAATCAAAAATATTTTTAGGCCAGATCTAAGATTGTAAGACCTTTTTAGGGTCGTGTCACACCTTGCCGAGTTAGCCAGTGTATGCCCAACCTCCCAGAATTTCCTAAAGCTCCGGCATATGCTGAACTTGCTATATATTTTTTAAATTTTGGGCGTATACATAGAGTATTCATAACAAATCCAGACCTTATGTCCAACGACAGCCTAACGCAAGGCAGCGTAACGCATTACGAAGCATCAGTTAAAGCTGCTCCCCTCAGTAGTAGCAATGCACCCGCCCCAAAAAAACTGGATAAATAAAAAGAAAACAGAAAGAAGGTTTGCAGTCGCAGCAGATTCAGCATCATGTCTGCTAGGAAGTTTGTTGGTCGTGAACGCAAGCAGGATCCATCACACTCACCCTATGATGGGGATGAAGTCTGGAGGAGAAGTTACTCATAGGTTTAGCATAAGCTAGACGCCATGAGTAACTTACACTTAACGTGTGTCAACAATCAGATAATTCACCTGTAACTTATGCCCCACATATGGAAAACGATGGCATACGTCTCAACGTATTCGCTGTATGTCAGCGTTTTTCAGCGCGATTATAACTTATACAAAACCTACCCATAACTTATCCAACGTATGCCAGCGTTTATGCCAGTTTTTCAGTACTTTAGGCGTACGCTGGTCTCTGTCGTCAAGGTGTGACAGGGGATTCGTGTGAATGCAGCTTGAGAATCTTCACCAGCATACATGTCATATTCTTTTCACTTCCAGCCAATTACAAACGTTCCCTCAGTGACCACAGTAAAGTGAGTCTTTGCTCCTCAGCCCGGAGGAAAGCCAAAGGCAAAATCTGGAAAAGTCTATTTAAAAAGAATGAAATTCATAAAACTTAATCGAAGAGAAATTTGGCGAAACTAAATCTGTAAAAATAATTTTGAAAGATAGAAAAAGAAATTAAATATGCAAAAAACAAAAACAAAAAAAATAAATAAAATGTATAAAATAATTTGAAAAATGTTTTGTGAGTAACTTTGCTGCTTTTTCTGATATTTTTTCTTCAAAGTTTTCTTATTGCATCATTTAAAATTTGTGTGGATGTGTTTTTTGCTTGCAACAATAACGGAGCAAAATTTACTCCATAGCAGAGGACCTGGTGAAAAGTGCCTCCTCAGTCTCAGCCATGTAGACCATGCAGTGAACTGTTAGCTGAGTAATTATTAAACAATTCGCAGTTGAGAGAGTAGAGAGAGATTTCATTCTCAGTACATAAACTAAACACCCACATAGAAGCTCGTTAGCACTGTACAGCTTTACATTAAAAAGATTTAAATTCACTTCCTCATCAATCCCAAGGTTTAATGATTAGAAGCACAGAGGCGGTCTCTGGACCTTGAAGTGCGTGGCGGCCATGTTTTCTGTCTTCTCACACTTTCCTCGTAACCGCGCTCTTTCAAAACATCCTCCTGTGGGAGCTTCAAACATGCCAATCAAAACACTGTGACAACCTGTACCAAGAAGCTCTTCCTGTTCTGCTGTACTGCGATCAGCGCTTCATGACGCAGAGAGAGAAACCACAGGGAGGCTCACAGCACAGACCTTAGCTGCAGAACTTATAGGAACCGTAAGGAGAGGCCAGATCCAGGAAGACATTAGATCTGATTATTAAACTGAGGAAAAGTTCAGACGTGTTACTCCAGTCACACCGGCTTCAGGTTTTCAGCTGTATCTGTTTGATCTGAGCGATGAGGAAGTAGAGAGTCACAACTGAAAAGTCATGAATCATCTCTGCAAAACATCCGCCTGCAGCTGATGTTGGGAGGGGCAACAGGTCAGGAAGGAGAGGCATCATGAAAGGCCATGACCTGCTCTGAGGAGCAGGACATGCTCAGATGCAACAGGACAACAGCAGGAGCTGCATTTAAGGCACCAATGCTAACTCAAACACACTAAAGACGGCTTTGGATGTCAACTTTACCGTTCTTTTTTTAAACAACCATAAAAAACAGATTTAAAATGTCTTAAAAATGATCTAATAGCTGTTCTGACATTGATCTGCTTCTCTTAAAGAATAAAATGAGTATCTATAGAGATCAACCCCATAGATCAGTCAATCTCTAGTTGAAGGAGATATTCTATCTTCTCAGTGTCCTTCCTTAGAGGGCGATAAGAGCAAATATCTGGCCATCAAAATGACGGAAATAGCAAACATCATCTCAGGCGTTTTCTTGTCTTTAAACATCCAGGCAAGCAAAAAAAACAAACAAAATGGGGAAATTTAGCAGCTCTAAAAAAATTTTATTATATTCATCTTATAAAAGGAGGTAAAAATGTGAACTAGGGCTGAAACGATTGCTTGTGATTTATCATTGAAATAATAAGTTAGTGATCTTTAGTAAATTTAGTTGGGGGATGTTGGCCTAGTGGTTAGAGCAGTGCGCTTGTGTTCTGAGAGTACCTAGTTCGATCCCCACAGCCTGCCTCTGAGCAAGACCTTTAACCCCACACTGCTCCCCGGGTGCCGCACAATGGCAGCCCACTGCTCCCCAAGGGGATGGGTTAAATGCAGAGAGGGAATTTCTCCAATGTAAGATCAATAAAGTTCAATTATTATTATTATTAATCATTGAAGGTATAGTGGAGGATTTTCACAATGTTTGAAAAGACCCGCCCTCTCCACTTCCATGAGCCTTTTTCTCCTGGTATACGCTCTGTTTGCGTCGCTCATACAAGCTTACTTTCCAAAAGATTAGCAATTTTTCCAGGATGTCAGACTTACCACCGGTAAGTGAAAATGGGGACAAGCACGTAGGATGGCCTTACGTAAACATATGCCCAGAATGATTGACAGTTAGGAGGACAACTGATTTAGATACCTTTAACTGGAGTATAGAGATTCTAAAACACGTCTTTAGCTGACAAAATTAAAATCAGAACTTTAAAATCTATAATAAAATAAAAGTACAATCTGAAATAATGTATTACAGACTAAAATCACACAGTTTAGAAAGCCAAGGCAAAGAGATGAGTTTTTAAGAGTGATTTAAAATCAGACAAAGAAAGTAGACAATTTAATTTGCGATGGAAGGTCGTTCCACATTTCTGGAGCTGCCACAGGGAAAGCAGGATCGCCACTAAGCTTCTGGGACGGTGCATGAAGGTGCAGCAACTCAGAATGATAAGATGGAGCAAGACCATGGAGAGACTAAAAAAATAATAAAAGAACTTTAAAATGAATCCTAAAATGTACAGGGAGCCAGTGTAATGAGGCTAAAATTGGGGTAATGTGCCAGATAAAAGAAGTGCTGCAGCGTATTTAATCTAAAATATACCAGAAAGATTAATAAATAAGCTAAATAATAGTTATATATCTAACTGTAGGGGTCAAAACACAAATTTTACTGGCAAATACACCAATTCCATGATATCTGAACTTACTTTTAGATAAATTTTTGCAGCGTAACCAAAGTATCCAAATTCACACTCCAAACAATGAGTGTTTTAAAAAAGGCCTAAAAACCTTTCTTTTTAACAAAGCTTTTGGTCCCCTTTAAATGTTTCTTCATGTTTTTTTCTTCTCCTCTCTCTTTTTACCTGTAGCACTTTGAGATGTTTTGATGGGAATTGCAATGTAAATTAAATGTATTATTATTATATATTCCATTCACTAATGGAGCTTTTTGTTTGTATACGGCTAGCTGTGGGGATCCCTTCTGTTGTTCTTTGTACGTTAATCATAGAGCGGTGATCTACTATTAAGTCCACTCAGGAGGCCTGGCAGCTGCAAAGCTGTGGGAAAGATTTACTCGTATAACTGACCCAGCTATAGGTCAGAATGTGGATAGATTGTCTCCCAGCCTCAAAAAAACAACCACAAAAATGCACACACACCTCCTTACTGTAGGTAATTATAGGCCTGCATGGCGCTGAAACGCAGCGACAGAGTGAAGCTGG